CTTAAGTCAATTTGATTGAAAAGTCTTTTCCTAGCCTTTTACTCTGAGGTAGTGTCTATCTTTGAAGTTGAGGTGTGTTTCTTGTATGCAGCAGAAGCATGGATCCTGATTTTGTATTTATTCTGTTAGCTTGTGTCTTTTTATAGGTAAGTTTAGTCCATTGAAATCAAGGGATATTAATGACGAGTGATTGTTAATTCCTGTTATGTTTCAGTGGTAGTGGTAGTGTATTTCTCTTCTTTGGGATTTATTGTTGTGGGGTTATCTATTACTTATGTTTTCATGGGTTCATCTGACTTCCTCAGGTTTGAGTTTTACTTCTAGTGCTTTCTATAGGGATGGGTTTGTAAATAGTTACTGTTTAAATCTGGGTTTGTCTTGTTCACTACATCTATGGTGATTGAAAGTATTGCTGGGTATATTAGTCTAGGCTGGTATCCATGGTCTTTTAGTGTCTGCATTATATTTGTCCAGGCCCTTCTGGCTTTCAGAGTCTCCATTGAGAATTCAGATGTTATTCTGATGGGTCTGCCTTTATAAGTGACTTGGCCTTTTTCCTTTGCTGCTCTTAATATTTTCTCTTTACTCTGTATGTTTAGTGTTTTAAATATTATGTGGCGAGGGGACTTCTTTTGGGGATCTAGTCTATTTGGTGTTCTATAAGCTTCTTGTATCTACACAGGCATTCCCTGCTTTAAATTGGGCAAGTTTTCTTCCACGATTTTGTTGAATTTATTTTCTGTGCCTTTGAGTTGGTATTCTTCTCCTTCTTCTATCCTTATTATACTTAGGTTTGGCCTTTTCATGGTGTCCCAGATTTCCTGAACATTTTGTGTTATGATTTTTTTGGCTTTGATGTTTTCTTTGACTGATGAATCTATTTCCTCTATTGTATCCTCTACACCAGAGATTATTTCTTCCATCTCTTGTGTTCTCTTGGTTATGCTTGCATCTGTAATTCCTGTTCATTTACTCAGATTTTCTATTGTCAACATTCCCTTGGTTTGTTTCTTCTTTATTTTTGCTATTTCAATTGTGAGGTCTTGAACTGTTTACTTCACATATTTAGTTGCTTTTTCCTGGTTTTCTTGGCTTCCTTTAGGAGATTTATTGATTTCTTCCATTTTTTTTTTGATTTTTCGAGACAGGGTTTCTCTGTGTAGCTTTGTGCCTTTCCTGAAACTCACTTGGCAGCCCAGGATGGCCTCGAACTCACAGAGATCTGCCTGGCTCTGTCTCCTGAGTGCTGGGATTAAAGGCGTGTGCCACCACCGCCCGGCTCTTCCAATTTTTATTTGTCTTTTTTCTCAATTTCTTTAAGGGAATTTTTCATTACCTCTTTAAGGCCTCTATTATCTTCAGAAAGTTATTTTTAAGATCACTTTCTTCTGCTTCTTCTACATTGTAATATTCAGGTCTTGCTTTTGTGGTACTGCTAGGTTCTAGTGATGCCATATTGCTCTTTATGTTGTTGTATTTATTTTTGCAATGATATCCTCCCATCTGTGCCTCCAAAAAGTGAAACAGGAACCTGTGTCTGAGTGAGCTGCTCTTGGTCCAATCTGTGCTTGCTCTGCCTGTGTCTCAGGGAAGCCACTCTGGGTCTGATCTTAGCTCTTGGTCTAATTTGAGCTGGTGGATTCTGTGCCTCATGAAGCTGTTCTTTGTCCAATCCCAGCTGGCTGATTCTGTGTTTCAGGAAGTTGTTCTTGGTTTTCTCAGGGCTCTTTGTCCAATCAGAGCTGGTGGATTCTGTGTCTCAGGAAGTCTCTCTTCGTCCAATAAGAGTTTTTGGTCCAATGAGGAGAACTGGTGGATTCTGTGTCTTAGGAAGCCACTCTTGGTCCAATGAGCACTGGCAGATTCCATGTCTCAGGAAGCCACTCTTGGTCCAATGAGAGCTGGCGGATTCTGTGTCTCAAGAAGCCATTGGGATAGCAGGGGGCTGGGTAGATTTGGAGTATGTTGTGGGTCTTATAGATTGGAGGTTCAAATGGGGGATTTTGGTAAGGGAGCCTGCTTGCAGGAATCTTCCCCATTGGCCTTCAACTGGGGCAGAGATTGGTGAGCATTTTCAGGTACTGGTTATATCCCAGGGCCTAGGTCCTAGTGTTAGGACTTTCTGGGTGAAAGAAGAGTCACTCACCTCTTGTTCCAATGACAGCTGGTGGATTCCCTGTCTCTGGAAACCACTGGGGTCGCAGGGGGATAGGTATGTTTGCAGTAGGGTGTGGGTCTTGTAGATTGGAGGGTCCGATGGTGTGTTTTGGTGGAGAAGCCTGCCCACAGGAGTCTTCTCTGCTGGCCAGCAACTGGGGAAGCGATGGGAGAATTTAAGCATCTTATAAAGTGGAATGTCAATGTAAATTTGTTGAAGGACAGCTGAGAAATAGATATATTCACATAGTCGTATAATGTTCTGTATTTCTATAGTGATGACTGAACTAGAATTGAGTTATAGGATGGAAACTTTGGGAGGTGTAATAAAGAACTACAAAATACTGGGAGTGACACATTGAGATCAGAAAGTTCTCTCCCGGGGTAAGATGCAGTGAAGAAGTGTACTGATACATGTAGGCTAAGAGGGACAAAGGTATAATTCTTGGGGAAAAAATTGAAAAACTTTAAGATAATCTCCTAATAGAAACTGCTTAGAGCAGTGGTAAGATTTGAGTGATTTGTCTGAAGGTTATGTGATTGAAGTCTGGTCCTTGGTATAGTGGTACTGATGCAATGGGAGCTGTAAGAGGGAGGCAGATTAGTGGGAAGAAATTAAGTCTTTGTAGGCAGCATCTTTTAAATGGATTAAAGTTGCACTTCCAATGTCAGTTCTCACTAGAGCAAGGTTTCATAAAAGAGGGAGCCAGTTCTCTAGTCTCTGACTTTCTGTCTCATGGTGAGATCCTCCTTTCTTGCTGTGTTCCTCTCATGATGTCTTCAAGAATGTTGAAAAGAAGACAAGAGGTCCCTCTTCAAAGGCTAAACAGAGAAACTACCCAATCTTGGAGTTTCATCCTCTAGAATAGTGAGATAATAAACCTCCTTTATTGGTAAAACCACAGCTATATGTATCTAGTTAGCAGCAGGAAATGGAATTGTACAGGCTATTATAATGGATTTGTTGTAAACTTACTTAGCTGAATGTCTACCATGTATCTATCTGTGTGGATATCCATAGTCTATCATCTACCATCTCTCTTCATGATAGAGGAAAGTTTGAAATGTAAAAGATATAGGACAAAGATCTACAGTGAAGATGTACTTCCCATTCTGCTTTCTTCTGCTTTTCTTTGTCTGTCCTCATTTCTTTTGCTATGTTTCCCATTCTCATAGACATGTGACTGCATTGGGTTTTCAACTCAGAAGCTCTCCTTCATATACCTCTTAAGAGAGAGGTTGTTTCCCCTTTGGAATCTGAGAAAAGAGCACACCTTGTGAGACTGTTTAGGAACAGAGAGCTGAACAGATAGTCTCATACTGTAGTTGACACATATCTGTTAATTGGCATCTTGACACAAACAATGCATTGCTTTTATTCTTGTTTTTTAAATGATTGTTTGTATAAATATAACAACTTTTACACAAACCATAATCATTTCTCAAGCAGTTCTGTCCATTTATAGGTAATACCAAGTTGCCCATACAACAATGGCACCAAATAGATGTAATGGATTTAGAAACTTGATTTACAGTTATGGAACTAGAGTGCTCAATAATATTCATGGATTCTTTGTTTTTATACACATAAAAATTTCATCTCATTTCTCCCAAGAGACAGCATATCTAGACATCCATTAAAATTCACAAAATATTCTCTCTTCCATGCTGATTTTAGTGCTAGTCTCTGTCTTTTTTACTAAGGGAACAGTGACATATTTGATGTTTTTTTCCACATTTGCACCAGGAAGAGAAACAAACAGTAAAATTCAGGGGAGCTTCATAGCTTATATTACTGCTAAGCTACAACTTCACAATCATATAAAAGGCAGATGGTTAACTATGTTATAGGCAAGAGGATTCATTTGTTTGAAAATACACAAAGAAACAATTACTTGTAACGTGGTACCTGAAACAAGATTTAACACCTCAGGAGATTATATATTTGCAATTTCCTAAGGATATTCTGCAGAACATATCTATAAGATGTTCAATATACTTTATTTAGAATCCATTTTAAAGGCTTAAGAAAAATATATTCTTTCATATAAAGAAAGATGCTTTTAGGCTTGATAATGATATCAATTTGATACTGCATTGTTGTTTTTAAGTCTGCCATTTTTTGTGTGTCATGTAAGTAGCTGTTATAGTTGTTCAGTTGGTTATATCTTTGGCTGGTTGATTGGTATTTGAGACAGGCACTTGTGCTTAGCCCAGATTGACTTCAGTCTCACTATGGAGCCCAGATAGGTTTCTAATTGGCCATCTTCCTGATACAGTCTCCTCAATACTGGGATTAACGGTTGTACTTTTCTGCTGGCTCCTCCCTGGCTTTTATATAGCTTTTAACTGAAGACTGGAATCTCTTGTGGCTACAACAGTGAAAGACAGCATATCTAGTCATGACAGCCTACAGAAATGCAGCTTATACCTTACATATTATCTGAAAGATACAATGAAATATTTCTGACCACTCCCTTCATGTAAATTTTCATCAATATTCATTGATTGAAAATTTGCCACCTGCTCAAGTAAAATCAATCACCAATGAAGGACTACTGTGATGAACTTCATGATTCCTCCCAAAGACCTATGTCCACATTGGGGGATGAAGTTAGCTTTACCTGAACATGGTCATGAGGAACATCTTAGACCCTTGGGGAGAAAAATGGTGGAAGTACAAATAGGTGTTGGATGTACACCAAACTGTATATAAAATAAGATCCTTAACAAAAATTGCAAATTCTTAGAAAGTTCAGGATATTTTGTCTTCTGTCCTAACCTCTTGCCTGGCAATTTTCTGAGAAACTATGGCCTGATGTATAAACCTTGGTAGTTTTTCTCACTTCTGAGCGCTATGCATAGTTTCCTTTCTCTTCTAAAATACCCATGAGATGGATAATGTCTTTTAAAGAAATTCTTCAGTTTCTTTCAGGAAGAAATAACCTCTAATGATTCTAAGTGAATAATAAAATGAAACAAAGAATGCGAGTGGTAAATAGCAAAATCGATATTCAATTGAAAATTGAAAATATACTAAATGTGGCCACATAAAGGTGAACTTCTACAAAAGTCCAAGCAAATAGGGCAGTGGGGAAAGGAGGGCTCCAAATGGTGAAGAAATATTCATATATCAGAAAGTCAGGGCTCCAGCTGAATTCATGATTCTAATCAATCTACATTTCTCACATGATAACTTAGGATTCAGGCATCGTCAACAAATAGCTAAATGGCAAGGGGTGAAATAATTTCAACAAAGTGATGAGAGCTACAGTTAATGATAGGTCATTTTAAATGAAACCAAAATAACTCTAATATAACTATATGGGCCATTTATAGGACAAGATTTTATTTATAGAAACACATTTATGAATCTATACATTTGTTGTGTGACAAAACTCTTCCTGGGGAGGTGCAACAAAGATATCTACTCTCCCCAGATAGGGATCTATGCTTGACAGTTTTATGTCAACTTGACATATGCTAAAGTCATTTGAGAGGAGGGAACCTCAAGTAAGAAAATGTTTCTGAAGCCTGTAGGATATTTTCTTAATTAGGGTTTGATGTGGGAGGTTCCAGATCATTGTGGATAGTGCCAACCCTGGGCTAGTGGTGTTGGGTTTTATAAGAAAGCAGTTAGGCAAGCTAAAAAGAACAAGCCAGTAAGCAGCAGCACTCCCCTATGGCTTCTGCATCAGCACCTGCCTCCAGGTTCCAGTCCTGCATGAGGCTTGACTTCCTTCAGTGATGGACTACAATGGGGAAGTCTAAACTAAATAAGGCTTTTCCTTCCCAGCTTGCTTTTGGTAATGAGGTTTTAACATAGCAATAGTAACCCTAACTAGGACTTTATCCCACAACAAACCCAAGTATGGCTACTACCAAAGTTTAACTTGGTGAACCAATGAGTTTTATTGAGCTTACTTATAGGAGGAGAATTGACTCAAAGTCTGCTGCATCATCAAAACACATGGGTGAAAACTGTCCAAGTGACTCAATTGGTCTATACCTCTTACAGACTGCTCTGCTGGTTTCTGCTTCTTTCAGGTGGCTGGTCTGACCTCAAATTCTTCTTATGTGCAACTTGGCTTCTCTGAGACATACTCTCAGTTTTATTGATTGCCCTTTCAAGAAGGGTCTAGTGAATCTGGTCAGTTTCAGGGACTTCCTAAAGCTATTTTGTGTTGTTTACTTCCCTAATTTTTCAGCTTCCTGGAAGGGTGGAATGTTTCAATGTTAGAGGAAACAGATAAAGAACAACACTGTACATGTGAAAGAAACTGTAGTATTTACATCTGAGTAACATACTCAGGAGGAAACGAATTTTAGCTAGAGCTAGCCTTTGTAAAGCATGCTGTATCTCAGCACTTGACTCTACTAAGAGGCTGGTGAGTTCAAAGCCATCCTGATCTATCTACTGATACCCTGCTTCCACCTCTACCCAAAACAATACTACAGGGACCAGTGGTATGGCTGAGCTGGTAAATAGACTTGATACCAAGGCTGACAACTTGAGTTTAGTCTCTGAGAGAGACCTGCACAGTAGAAGAAGAGAACCCTTCTGCACAGCATGTTATACATGCAGATAAAAAAATATATAAATAAGTAAATAAATGTAAAACTAGAATACACATTCAGACCAACTATTTCAGTCTGTTTGTCTAAGAATTCTTTGTAATCATAACATGCTGTTATTTTGGGGAATTTAAGGTATTGTTCTTATTATGATATTGACTTAAATTTTGAAAAGTATATTCACTATGTAAGTTAAGAAAATGTAAAAACCAAACCAAACAAACAAACAAAAAAAAACAAAAAGAAAGAAAGGTACTCTGAGCTTGTGTATAAACTACCTGGCTAAAATTTCACCTGTGTGTGTCTGTACATCAGAACAAGAGAAAGTGGGCAGATCTGTAGGAACTGCTGATAATCTCCCCATGGAATAAATATAATCAGTTATGGTTTGGCTAATTTCTCACAGTGAGAGAACATTAAATCAAGGACGCAATTTTCTGTCTGTTTCACTAAGATTGACTCCATGAACTCAAAGTTATGTTTTTCTAAGTGTTTTCAATGGAAAAAAGAATTATTTCCTTCCCATTTCCCCATTGATGAAATGAAAAATATTCATAAAAAATACCAGCTTGTGTGTGATAATCCAAGCAAATAAAATTATTACTGGCTGGCAAGAAATAATCACTTGCAGATAATAGTTGCGCTGATGTAGATGACTTATGCAAATCTTTTATCTTTGCAGTCAAGGCCCATTCCTAATCTTTCGACTACCTAAGGTTACTTTCAGGGGAGCTTATTTCTCAGAGGCCAGATTTCCTTTATACTCACTAAGCCTGAAGTCCTCAACTCTGCAACTACTTAGAACTATAGCAATTTTTTTTCTCTGATCCAATTTTGCCACCAAATTAAATTAATTTCAGTCAGAGCCTTCCTTGTCTTTTATTGGTTTTCTATGAAATCCATAGATTTAAAAAATGATTTTTCAATGTGTGCATTCATCTTCTCAGTGACACCTTCCCATGCTATTTTTTATTATCTACTTTGGGTTATTCTTACCTGTGCATAACTTGAGAAAAAGTATACATTTTTATTTTATGTGTATAAGTATTTTGCCTTCATGTTCACATGTGAATAAAGTACAAGCAGAGGCTAGAAGAAGCATCAAATACTCTGGAACTGGAGTCACAAAAATTTATGATCTGCCTTGTGGATGCTAGGTACCAGACCAAGTGGAACCAATATGCCCACGAAAGCATGTGGCCCTGGCAGGCCTTGCCCTCCTTTCAGATACCCTCTGCCTTGCTAAAAACCATTAGATTACATTCCTAAAGCTACTTCCCAAGGTCTTTTCCCTTATTTGATCACTTCCTCCTCCCAGGGTTAACTACCAAGATCTAGCTGTCAAAGTATTGATATCCAGGAATCAAAAGACCCCTTTGGATCACCTAATTAACATGCCCAATTAAAATTAAACACGTTATCCTAACACAAGGTTTTCCATTTTACCTTTATAAACTATCATTTGCCTATGGGCCAAGTATGTCTTTTCTATCCAGAGACAGTCCTTTGTCTACGAGGACAAACACCCCTTCCCCTTATCCCTTTTTTCCTTCCTCTTCTCCCTCATCCTCTATCTCCTGTCTTTGTCTCTTATTCTCTGTCTTCTGTCTCTCTGGCACAAATCTCCTTTGGGCTGAAAACTTGTTCTTGGGAATCCTGAGCTGATATTCTCCTTTCA